TGGAGTCTTTCATTTGCTCCATTGATGCTGACTTGGGACTGATGCTGACTTGCTTATTTTCTTTCTTTCTTTTTGTAATTCTGCGCCCTCCTTTTTTCCTTTTTGCATCGTCTGGCATTGTTCTCAAGAAGAATAAGCTGTGCAGAGCAGTCAACTTCTCTGCCTTAGGCAATTAGACCAGTAATAAGAGTGATTGGCTTCCCACTGCTCCCATCTAATACTATATTTATGGGTGCCAAGCATTCTGTGCTAGAGGAAAGGCTTCACCAATTTTCTGCAAGAGGTCTGCTCTGGTAGAGATGGGGTTACAAAAAGAGCCATGGGGTGTTACATCTGGTTTGTGAATCTGCATACTGTGATGCTGGAAGAGAGACAGTTTATATAACAGAAGATAGTCTGCAAAGTACGTGGTTGGGTTGTGTTGGAGGGATAAACCTGGGCATAGAAAATTAAAGGAAATCATAGTTTTGTGAGTCGTTGAGTTTCTTCCTTGCTTATTAATCTATGTTTTTCAAAACAAAAACAAAAAAAATCCCGCGGATAAAACTGTGTTTGTCAATGTCATTTCCCCCAGAGCCTGGAACATGTATCCTGCCCTGTTGTAAAAGCTAGGACTTGCTCTAGGGCGGGGTGGCCACCCAGTTAGACACAAAGAGCCAAAAGAGCTGTGGATAGTAGTGCAAAGAGCCACACGTCCCTCCCCCAGAGCCAGGCTCCTCCAGGTCCCTCCCATTCTAACCCAATGCCTGGGTCTCACCAGAGCTGCCACTGCCACAGCCACGCACTCCTCCCTCCAGGCACTGGGGCGCGTGCGCAAAGCAGGCACACGGCTCCGAATGAGCCGCAACCCTGAGAGCCGCAAACCTGAGATCTGTAACCCTGAGAGCCGCGTTTCTGTGAGCAAAGAGCCGCACGTGGCTCAAGAGCCACGGGGTGGTCACCTGCTCTAGGGACTGGGGTTGAGGTGAGGGTGAGGCTTTCTGTTTCTGGTTAACCTGTGGGGGCTGCAGCCGCTTCAGTCCCACAGGGCTTGCCATAGGTTGTTCCAGCCCACCCTCCTCCCGCTGTGTTTAACTGGTTAATCAATTAAATGGGATTTTACATCCCTAATAGGGACCTGAGCAAGGCTCCAGACCAGGGCCAGACCTAGCCGCCAGAACTAGCCCCCGGGAGTCTCAGCCTGACTCCCTGCCTGCCCCGCCCCTGCACGCTGTTCAGAGCAGCTCTCTGAATACTGCGGGCCCAGAAGGGAGGAGGTGCTTCGTGCACTGCCCCTGCAGCCCACCACAACCACCGGCCAATGGGAACTGCCTCTTTGCAGAACAGGCAGCGTCCGAAGTATCCCTCCCCCTCTGGGCTTGCGGCATTCAGAGCTGCGCATGGATCCCCGCAGCCGGTGAAGGCACGTGGAAGGCAGGGTTCCCTGGCTGAGGAACCTGCTGGGCTGCTGGCCGGGAACTGCTCAGATAAGCGCTTCCCAGCCAAAGCCTGCCTCTGGCACCCCAATCCCTCCCCCCCCCCACCGTCTGGCCCCCCCCCCCCCCCCCCTCCCCCCCCCATCCCCCCCCCCCCCCCTAACCAAGACA